CACTTTCCCCTCTTACCCCCCACCCCCTCATCATACTGTTCTTCACTCCCGCTTCTCTGGCCTTCTATCACTACATTACTGTGTTCTTTTAAACGTTACACCTGATAATTTTAGCACACTGACGACTAAAGCTCAGTCAGCCACTACGGGCTGCTGCAACGTACTCCTCCGTACTCAAATTCAGCGATGTTAAATTATTAATATTGCCTTAATTTCGATCTTCAAGTATAATTTTACATCAACAATACAATACGATTTGGTATAGCATACAAGAATCGACCCGCGACGTTCAGCCTGTAAAGTATACTACAGTGTACGAGAGTACGGACAATGGACCCATGGTATTTAGAGATAGGATTATCCGTACATTAAGAGCAACATAACAGTAATTTGCATCAATCAGTTTCAGGCGAGAAGTCGCATGGGGTAAAGGGGCCTGTAGGTGTAGGGTGTAGGGGCCTGTTCCAGACGGTCACTTTTTTGACTACTTGTGTTGTTAAAAAAACATATGTGTTGCTAACAAACTTTACTGGACTTTCATTATTAATGTTACACAACAAATTTTGTAACAGTGTGGTGCACCCCTGTTTTCCTGCAAAATTCGAGTCGTCGACGGTAAGTAAGAAATAGACACTCCGACGGTGCTTACCGCTTGTGCAGCTCGATGACCTGCATCACACATAATCACCACTCCGGCGAAAATCTGAACTGAGATGATGGCGCAGATGGAAGCAAACGTATGGAAGCCAGCCAGAGAGCTCACAAGGCCCTGGTACGTGCAAAGAGTTGTCTGCATGATGAGGTACATAAGAAGGGCCAACACAGTGGTAGGCATCGCGACGCAACCCTCAGACAACTGCCTGAGACGCACCCAAGCCATGCGAAATTCGCGCACACGCGTCGCGGTCATGCCACCTGCCAACAGCTCCTACCAAACAACAGTTTTCATGAATACACTGCACTCTTTATTTAGCTTCTCACAACATCTGACAAAGGCAGGTGATTCGACTGGAATCCATTTAGGTGACTGCAGAGACAGAGGGTCTGGCACCCATGGTTGCGGGGCAAAACACCTCACACCTCTGCACTGTTAAAAATAATTGTAAAAAATAAAGCGCTTTTAAAACGAGACAGTTGTTAATAAACAACAAATGTTGTTTTCATTTGATTCCTCTCGAAACTCGTGCTTTTCGGCGTATATCGGCCCACAACATAAACTACTGGGTATCATTTTCCTGTAAATGTACAAGAAAAGTCTGTTCAATTGTTAGCAACACATTTCGTACAAAAACAACACACTCGCAATATTGCAACTTGCTTTTCAAGGAGCAGATAGGGGGCGTACCCAAACCACGTGACGGGTTTTGGTGGGTTTTGACCACCCCTCCCCCATGTGGTGGTCTGTGGTGGTTTCGCCCCCACCCCCCTCTCCCCCCTCCCATTTTCAGGTTTTCAGCACATGTGTAACGTATTTACAACTATAGCATTTTAACAAAAAGTGCATGTTTGCTGATATTCAAAACTTTATTTAGTAGTGACTTTGCGATTAAACACCGGCAGATTTCAGTGATTTATCACGCAAAAAACGGATTTGAGTTGTTGTTCTTTTCTTTTTCAAAAATATGCTTATTTGAGCAGGTTATTAATACTCACGTGACTTGGCCAAAACATGCCCCTCCCCCCTCCCCTAAAATGCGTCACGTGGTTTGGGTACGGCCCCTAATTTCCTTCTGAAATTACAATTTATAAGTATGCAGCGAAACTATACGGAATAATTGACAAATTGGTCAGTAATTCCTGCTGTCGAGAATTCTACGTTTTAACTAACAAAAAATCAGAACAGGTCTGAGAGTGTTGGGTTAGGTCAGCGGTTCCCAAACGGGGTTGCCGCCAGGTGCCACACTGTAAAAGCTGAAGGCGACATTCCAATCATAATTTATTTAAATCAAAGTGATTTTTTTTAGCAGATGATACCTTAAATACTTTCACTAAATGTAAAGAATACATAAGTAACTTTAAGGTGTCAGCTAGCTTTAACTCTCGATGAGCAGGAAAGAGAACTAAGAGCAAAACCAGAAATCATCTTTTTGAGCGCTGCGGAATGGTGTCCGAGTGAGTTTCGCGCTAACAATACTGCGCGGGATGGGCCCCCAATAACCCCTACCCTACCCAACAGTACAACTGGGCCGCGGGCCGCCCTGCCTCCCCGCCCTCCCCAAATGTCCTCCTCTACGCCACTAGGCCGCCGAATTGCAAGATTGCGAGCAACCGAACCAAACAAATAGCACCTGATGAGAGAAAATAGGAACATAGCCCTGTTCATAAATTTGTATCATCTGCTTTCAAGATCGATTCTTGATTGAGATTTTTTTGCCCTAAAAATAGTCCCTATGAAGAAACATTTTCCTGATTTTTGGAGACTTGTAGCTCAAACGGTTCAGAATTAATAGGCATTTGAAAATTGAAAGATCGTGAAACGTTTCCTGTCGAAGCCAGGACGCTTTAGAAGGCGATCGGGCACGTACCGGGACGTAACATGACCCCAGAAATCCGATTCCGGCCGCAGAATGGGCGTTCCTCTACTTCTTATACCCCCAAAAGCCAATTTTCCTTTTCAAATCATGCGTTTTGGCAAGCTGAGATGCCATACTCCCCCATAATTTTTTGACCTCTTCAGAGCTTAAATTGAAAGTAAGTTACCGTATCTTCCAAATAAGAAGGGTGGAACATGTGGTACCGAGCCTGGTTTTCTAAAGACCGACAAAAACCGGAAAAACGTCACTTTATTTGGCTTGAGCGTTTTGATCACTATTTTTCGAGATGTTCCGCACCGTGTACGAAGCGTATCAAGGCGATTTCCTGGAATAAAAAGGTTGGGTATTTAGACCTTTAGCCCCTCAAAAAGGTCAAAATCGTAAAAAAAAAACAAAAAAAAAAACATATCTTCTTGAAATGATCAGAAAACTTATATCCTACTCCCGAAAACTTCATTTTTTTCAATCCCAACCCCAAAACAGAGACCTAAGCTTAGTAGAAAGCAGAAACACTCCCAAAAAATCCTGAACAAAAATTTTCCAATCCGGCGAATATCTAAAATGACCAGCACTTCAAAAACCGCGTTTTTAGACGGTCGTTAAAATGCCAAATTTTAATTGTAAAATTTCGGACTGTTGCACCTGAGGGACCCATAATTTTGCAATCTTTTGCCTGTCTAGAAATGATCAGGACTTCGAAAAACGCATTTCTAGACGGTCGCAGAATTACCAGATTTTTGATCCAATATTTGCAAAAATCGTGTTAAGGGAGGGTGGGGCACCTGGAGATATTTCGCCTATTTTCGCCCACTACTCAGTGGATTTTAAAGTTAGGATAGCGTTTGAGAGACGAGGTGAAAGCCCTTACTTAGAAGTAATTGGATCCGTTTTGTTTGTTGAGAAATTTTGAACGGTTTAGGTACGGTGGTCTGTTGAGTGCAGGATGCACTATGTCTCCAGGTGCCCCACCCCTGGGGCACTTCGAGACAGACATCAAATTTTACTCTAGTAACTAAAAATATTACATTTTAATGCGAAAATAGTATGTCCCAACCCCTCCCCTTCCTCTCCATACCACAAAAAAATTGCCCAGTTCTCCCTTGATAAATTACAAGTAACATCTTGTTGCATATGCTACTCACAGTAAATTCAACACAAGATAAAAATAAAAATATTACCCTGGTCATAGTTTTAGCACATTTACAGGTATTATCTTTTTACATACTTAAATTATAGCAAATGTAAAATTTAAAATTTCAGTTCTGGATGAAAGGCCTCCCTTTACTGCTTCTATGGCTACATTCATGTTGCCCTCTCCAAATTTACCACTGTCTGTCTTAGGTTGGTAGTTGCCAACCCTTTCTATAAACATTTTTTTCTGGCATCAGTTTTTGATAATCACGTTATTTTAATAACGCTCGGACATAATTAAGGTGTCTCCAAGTGCCCCACTAAAATTGCCTCTACGTGCCCCACGGGACACATCGATGTTATGATGCTGGGCATCACAAACCCTGTGAACCAAACTCAACATGTTTTTGAGCCAATCGAAAGCTCACAAGTCACAGAATCCGTTGATATTTTTATCTAATTTTTAGGCCAATTCTTACTGAGCAAGGTGAAATTTCAAAGAAAAAATCAAGTTTTAACTTTAAGGAACGTGTTTTGGGACGACATAAAGTTTAACAGCCAAGAACAATACAACCCCTTCGATGACAACCACCGTCCTTTCTGAAAGTGGTTTGCGGACCGATTGTCATCTTCCTGTGCGACGGCGCGAAAATTCAAACATTTCGAGATATCACGACTGTCTCCAGGTGCCCCACCCTCCCCTACGGTAACCAGTAGCTCTTATACCGAGCACGCCGACCGGATGGAGCAGTATGGAAAATAGCACGGCACGCGCAGAGATAATTTTTAGTATATTTTGGATTATTTTAAAATATTTTAATTTTTTAGTAGAAATATATGATTAAAAAATAAGAAAATATTCAGGGGGGTTGGGGCTTCTTGAGGGGGGACCCCCAGACGTTTCCCTATTCGCTTCACATCTACATCAGCAAAAGATATCAACTTTTACAACGAACGGAAAAAGTCTTGTGTAGTTGAGGTTGATGATTTTCTTCACATGTGGTTTGAAGTGAATTCACTCCCATTTTGGAAAGTCTTCAAATTCCTATCTACTTCTTCATTTCAGTTTGTCTCTGTTGAAATTGCCTCCCAATTTGTTGTTTGTAAACCACTTGTCTATGGCACTGCCCTTATTCAACTGGGTTTGGTTGACACACCAGCTATTCAGGATAAAGAAGAAGACTGGGTGGACGAGCCTGGTACTGCTGTGGTTGAATTAGATGAAGTTTGTAGTTCGCTTGACGCAACCTTAAAGGGAGATTCTTTGAAAAGTGAACATGCAACTGAACTTCTTTTGGAGATGTTTACGGCATACATGTACACACTTGGGTTTCCAGAGTTGATGCAAGGTCCAGGGGTCCGTAACATATCGTAACACGAACGAATGTTAACTCAACGTAACAAAATACTTGTCAAATTAAAAGTTAAAGTTGTCGATTTTGAAAAAAGGCCGTTAGTAATCATACATTCTGTAGAAATAAGTTGGGCAGGTCGAATAACTAACTTATTTCTAAAGGTCTACAGTAAAAGTTACAAGTTATAACTTTAACTCTTAAAGTAACGTTAAGGGGACACTATGGTGAAAGAAATGAGGACATTTTTGGTCTAAAAATCGCAGTTTTTGAAAGATTCCCTGCGCAAAGCTATAAGAGATGGAACTTTGGGGCTCATATGCATTTAATGGTTAGGTATTCAACTTAATTTGCCGGCATTGTCAACAACAACGAAGAAGTCTAAGCCACCCACACACGCCAAAGGTACTAACTCCTGAAGAGTTTTCATGGGCTTCCTATTGGAAAATGTACTGAGGACACTCCTGTTGTTTGATTTTGATATCCATGCCGGGTTTTAATATTAGTGTATAATAGAACATTTTAAACATCAGATTTGGCAATGTAACTCAAACCAGTTTGCGCATGGAACTTTTCAAAGATAGGCCTGTTTTAACATATTTAAAGATTTTCAGAGCTTTGGGTGGCTCCTAAAAGTCTGGGAAATCTAGAGAAAGTCCTATGCTTTAAGAAATTAAAAAGGAAAATGTTCAGAAACATAGGCTTCCAGACTTCCATTTCACCATAGTGTCCCCTTAAAAGCAGTAAAGTAATAAGTTACCGGACCCCTGGGAAGGTGCCCACCGAGGAGTTTACAGAGGGACACCTATGGGCAGCAAGCACTATCAAGGTTCCGCTGGCAGGTTGCGCATACCGTAGCCAACTGTTCCTTGAGGCCTGTCGCAAAGTCCGCGACAGTTAGAAGGGTGCCAGCGACGCAGCCAACGCACGT